TGTCTGTCTGTCTGTCTGTCTGTCTGTCTGTCTGTCTGTCTGTCTGTCTGTCTGTTATAAGTAACTATTTGTAGATCAATGTTGTATATGCCAGCCTACCTATGTATGTCTGTCTATCGATCTATTTATCTTCCTGTCTGTCTGTCTGTCCGTCATTCAGTCAGTCTGTCTGTCTACCTGTCTGCCTGTCTGTCTGTCTGTCTGTCTGTCTGACTGTCTGTCTGTCTGTCTGTCTGTCTGTCTGTCTGTCTGTCTGTCCGTCTGTAAATCTAACTATTTATTCCATTTCTTCTCTTCTCCCAGCTGGAGCTCAGGCGGTGGGATGACACCATCTTTCCCCCGAGTGAGATGACTGACATCAAAGTCCGCTTCTCAGTGGAATATGGTGTTCCCGCCCAACCAACAACAACGACAACAACGACGACGACTATGGCCCCGTTGACAACCTCATCAGGATCACCGACCCTACCAAAACTCGTACCGGAAGAAATTATGTATCCAGGTAAAGGCCGTCAATTTAAAGTGTCAAACGGCCTGTTTAGAAAAACGTGCGATTCCCATGGGTCGATCTTTGAGATTATGAAACTAACATAAATTCCATTAAGTATTAAGTATTTTTCTGTAATATTTATTCATTAGAAGTTATTGCATCATTTGGAATGGCACTTCTCTACAGGACAAAGCCTTCCCCTGCCTTTGTACATGTGGTGGTAATCAAAAGTTAATGTACTTACAGAAGAGTCCAACTTTCTAAGAGTCAGTAAATAAATTATGTAATCAACATTGGTACCATGGTCTAAAGAATTCTCGTATGTATACTATTGTGATCCTCTTTACAATCTGGTCCGACAAAGCGGTCATGTTGTAGCAGTTAGGTGCTTCGTTATCACACGCAGAAGACTTTAGTTCTTCTCTTGTATGCAGAAAAATTTTATTTTGTATTTCGGTCTTTCTGTTGGGACGTTGATTCCTTCTCAGCCGAGTTAGCGCGCCTCCTAATTGATCTGAAATATTATTTCAACGGGAGTGTAAGAACACCTTCATTTTAAAGAAAAATAATTCAAAAAGTGTAGATTTTAAATCTGTTCTCTTCCAGATTTTGGTTGGCCGAGAAGGCTTCCAGACGATGAGCTCGAACTGACTTTAAACGAGCCTGTCAAGCAAGCCCCTGTTACCGGGTGGATCCCCATCACGTTCCGTGTTCCTGACGACGCCAAATGGTTCCGCATACGCGTAAGTCATCATCATTATCCGGTGCCTTGCCGATTGGCGTGGGCGATCGTGGACCTCCATTTCACTCTGTCTTGCGTTGCAGCGATGGTGTCTGTTGTTCTTGCTGTTCCCAGCCATGTTGTCAACTTGTCCAGTAACGTTTCACTCTGTCTGCCTCTGCCTCTCTTTCCATCAAACGTGCCTGTTGTTACAATAGTCTCCAAATTTACGGAAAGGATTCTTGTGTAATGGCAGGGTTTGATCTTTGGGTAGTGGAACAGCTATGAAGAGATCTCCACTCGGAACGGACTTCATCCCATGCGAATGTCTGGGTGGTGTGGGTGGTTGACGGGTGTTCTGCTGCGTGGTTTGCTCCTTCTTTCCTATCAAACATTTATCGTTCTGATTTCTCTTCCTTTATTTTATGTTTGTTACTCTCTTGTAATACCTCTAACATTCGCCTTATATGACTTCATTGTGTTGCAAGTGACCTGACATTCTTACTAATACTAAAAGAGAGAAACAAACACAAAAAATAGAAACAAAAACGACAGAAGTTTTAAAGGAAAGAAGGAAAAACCCACACCAGAGCACCCGCCAACCACACACTAAATATATTCAGCTTTATAACGTACGACATTGTATTGTTTCATATTTCTTTCACCAATCCTCATTATCAATCCTGCAGCAGAGAATGTTGACCCTTAAAGAAAACTGGACTCAGTTACACGACAACTTCAAAATAATCTTTACAACTTCAAAATAATCTGACGACTTTAAGGTACCATCACTAAACAGAACCCAACACAAGTCCCACTTAATGCACTTTCATATATAGGTGGAAAGATGGATGGGTGGGTGGGCGGATGAGTAGAGATAGACTGACAGACTGATAAATAGAAAGACAGACAAACAGAAAGAAAGGGGGCATGTTTGTAGGTGTGTGTGTGTGTATGTGTGTGTGTGTGTGTGTGT